GGGATTTGGCAACCTCCAAACCATGATTTCAAAAGTACTTTTCGCAAAATAAGATAAATTCCTCCCCATATTTACTTCGTAAACCGTAAAAACACTTCTGAAACCATGGTTTGGTTCCTATCCAAACACCTCCTTAAAACTCAAGAAACCTGCTCATCTCGCAATATTGTATACGTCTCAGCTTTATTTATAACTAAATGTCAGCCAATGCACGCATAAGATAAAGATTCAAGAATACGGGACAGTTTTGTTAGGAATTGACCATCGAATACCAAACAACCTTTCTAAAGATAAATAAGCAAGCACTAAAGAATAATTTCAATTTTGCCTCATAAAAGCCATAATGGTGTGAACTTCAAAATGTTCTCTACTGAATGCGCTTATGAGAACTATCCATTATACTAACAATTACCTGTCAAACCATATTCTTGCCAAACCAGTCAATTAACTGTGTAAATTCACAATACAAACTTGTGCTAAGGAAAAATCGCCTTCGTATTTGGATCAGATGACATTTGGGACACGTCCATTTATTGTGCTATATATATTCTAATCATAATAATTTTTAATTAAAATATAATAATATATAGTTGGCAAAAAATATAATATAATAACATATACATTTTAATATTTTCATTAGTAATATATGGTTCTTGGTAAAAATTTATCAAGTTATTGTGATTTTGCTAAAAATTATATATTTATTAATTTTTATTTCATTGAGTGATACTGAGAATAAAAGGAATTGCACGATCTTTATATGAGATGATTACGCTAACTTTTTTAGTTATTTTTATGGCCAAGTATTTTTCTGATTTATATAATCATTTTAAAATGTTTAATTAGAATGTTAAAACTTATAATGTACGCATATGGATCAAATGTAATATAACATGATATATCAAATGAGTTAACTTTTATTATATGTTTAGCACGTTGCATTAACTCTGATGATTATAAAAGATAATAATACTAATATGAGATATTGTGAACTAATCACATGTTTGTCATAAATAATCTTTCTTTGTAAAAAGGTTAATATAATCTTTAATTTCTTAAATTTGCTTTCATTTTAATTTTGGTTTCTCAAATTTTAAAACGTAGGTTTTAATCACTCAAGAAACAAAATGGTCTAAATTTTTATCGAATTATAGGGAATTATGGGAATTATAGGGACCAATGTTTTAAATAAAGACAAACTTGAGAGACCAAAATCAAAATAAAGACAAACTTAAAAGACTAAAAATTATATTAACTCATTATAAAAACTTATTATGTAACATAATGTAGGTTAGCTTTTAAAATATTTTCACACCCTACCTTAAACACATGCCATTTCCAACCTCTTTTCCACTGAAATTAAAAAGAAAAATACATAGGAAATGGCAAAACAAGTAGTTTTTAACGCCAAACATTCTTTAGCTGCAGTCTAAAGGAAACAATGAATCGGCATGGAAATAAAACAATAACTTCCCACCATAAACAAGAAAGGTAAACATTCAGTTGAAAGCCATGCCAACATTTTTTTCACCAAAAAAAAATTACATGTATTTGAAATTTGTGGGAATTATTTGTTTATTACTTGCCAAATATAATACTATCTATAAAAGTTTGATAACTAATTTATAGATACTGAAAAAATAGTTATTTATAATAAATATGTTTTTGTTTTCTTAAGTTACCCTCTTAAATCATTTGCATTAAAACGACCTCCTAATGCAAACTTTCTTAATATGTGCAATTAATAAGAATAGTTTAGAAAAACAACGATAAATATAAAAAGCAAAGTAAAATATGTCTTGTACAAATCATCTTCTCTATGTGCAAATTAATTCTTTATATCCAAATAATATTTTGTAACTTACATTCCTTTGCATGTAACTAATTTTTCTTTATGCAATCAATCATGTTAGAGACTATTTGCGAATTAAACTTGTAATGAGAAATTTATCTCCAATTTTTCCTAATTACTATTGATTCACTTTCTACATCAACCCAACTCTATCTTTCCTAAGTTTACTGTTGCTGTAAGTGGGTCCAAAAATGAGCCCAAAATAGTCCTACCTAGAAGGTGTCACGCTGTATACCCCGTAATTATTTCATTGAATCTCAGCGTTAGTACTGAACTACAAAACTTCAGCTTTATAATTTGACAACAAATCACTGAACTATATGCTCTTTTTCGCAAGTCTCTCGAGTTCAAATTCGCGGAAAAAATCATTGACAGCTTGAAAGAACAAAAAGTAATTTAATCAGAAATATTGAACAGTGAAGTGGGTAATGAAATGACTAATACTTATAGGCTGAAGCTAATGAGTTCGTGTAGGATTTTTGATGGCATGAACAGTGGATTGGGTAATGAATTTAATGCAGATGGGATAGCACAAGGTTGAGGCTAAAAGGCTATAATATGCAGGTGTGTTTGAAATTATGTTATCACAGAAAACAACTCCTGACTATCTTTTTTTGTTTGGATCCGTGACTATCTAAGAAGTCCTTTTTTCTTCTATTGCATGGTGGAGCCTTTTTCCATTGCCTCACAGTGTGGCAATATTATGAGCTCCTTAACCCCCTGCTTGGATTGAGGAAAAATTAGGGAGGAAAGAAAATAAGAGAAGAAAACAGGAGGGGAAACAACTTTTCTTTTGCTTGGGTAGGAGAGAAAATGTGGGAGGAAGGAAAAGTGGGGGAAAAAATAAGGTGGGTCCCATACCTCATTTTCTCTCCAAATTTCTCTTCATATATGGAGAGATTTGGGAAGGAAAACAAGATTTTCATAACTACCCCTACTATCTCATACTTTTCATATTTATTTTCTTTTATTATATTTAAAAATTTATTCATTTTTTATTTCTTTTATCTTAAAACAATATTTTTATTAAATAATTTGGCTTTAAAATGTAATAATATGAAAATATATATCAATCAAATAACTTGATTTTAATTATTTCATGACGCCAATGTTAGTATAATCTTTCTATCACAATATTTAATTTAATTTAGTTTTAAATGTGATATATTTGATAAGGACATTTTAGTCATTTGGATATTTATTAATTTTCTTTCTTTTCTATTTTCTCTCATCTATCCAAGCAATAGGGATGATAACATTTTTCCTCTAGTTTTTTCTTATCTCTATTTTCTCTCCTTCCATTTTCTTTTCTTCCAACTTTTCTTCCCATCCAAGCAAAGCATAAATTTATTACCTACCCAAGTTGCCCTTCCACCCAAAAACAGGATGAAAATTAACAACCTTTTTCTGCAACAATTATAACAAAACTTGCCCAACGGAAAAAGCGAACCAACCCAAGAATTCTCAAGTGAGTTCAAGTGGAGCTGAATTCTAGGAAGCCATGTGGCGCTCTCTTTCTCTTTGCCAGAGAAGAAGCAAAAAAATCTCAGAGATATAGTGATGGGTCTACAAAATCCTAAAGACTTGTTGCCTGCATCAGGGGCGCTGAGATTTGAGAGGGATTTTGAGACGCTAAGGTGGGAAGAGGCCATGAATGCATTTATTTATAATTGCATTTATTTATAATGTTTCCTATTTAATTAAATATATTCAAATTTCAATCAAGATATTATTTAAATCTCATTAATTGAATATATTTGGATTCTATAATTTCATACTCGATCCATTTTCAAACAAATACGGTATTACAAGTTTTCAAGAATACAATGATTGATTGATTGATATAAGACCCCAATTCACTTTTATCTCTCCCCATATTTATTTATTTTTTTCAAGATAGTCCTTGTAATAATAGTAGTTCTAGCCAATACACTTGATTAGCAATGATATTTTATAAAAAATACCCATTTATTACAAATAACTAACTCAACTAATTTTCTTAATTGACGCAAATTAGTCTTTTAGTTTTTACACTAAGGGTCAAAGGTAGCATAATAATTTTACCAAGTGTTACTCTTTGTCATGTTACAAACTAATCTTAAAATTTTAGGAAGCAAATACGTGCATCAAATATATAAACTCATGAAAAATTAATATAAAAAATGTGGTTGTGAACAAGCATTTTTAAATTCCAAATTTAGAAATGTAAAATAAAAATCCCGGAAATGACTTTGTAGCTGAAATAGTAAAATACCAACATTGTCCACTCGGGATTAAATTGCCAAACTGACCAGCAGACACATATTGCTCCGACTCAATGTGAGTCATCCCTATCACAGGCCCAAAAATAGACATTTATCCCAAATACAGCCCCCCTTCTTTGTGATAAAAATAAGATCTACATAAGTACCTTTCCTAAAATAATATAGATATAACCTCCTCAAACAGGTTTCTGCTCACAAGTTATTTTGTACAATGTCATATCAAATATTTCACATCTTCATAGTATAAAAATTTCATCAGGTCTTTTATTCTTCACAATGTGACAAACTAACCTGTTTTTTTTTTGTCAGAAACCTGCGTGACAAACTAACCTTAAAATTTTAGGATGGAGATATAAATATATAAAATCATGAATATATGTTCAACAAATTCGGAAAGGTAAAATTCAAAATTAAAAATGTCTGTTACCTCGTCATAATCGTGTATCACTAGGCCTTGAGCCACTCACCGAAAAGCAATCAATCAAGTACCATTAACATAATGCAGGGTTGAATGAAGCACAACCACTTATTGAAGAAAATCAGCAAACTAGCAAAGGAAATGCTTATCGAATCACAACATAAAATCCTTATCGGAGGAACACAAATCATAAAACGAAGTTATGACGACAAACTCCGCCATTCCTTCCGATTAATACAGCTATGAATTAAAAAAATTTCAAAAAACAAAATGCTGATATCACCGCAAGATAAAGCCACAAAAGACGCCCCCAAACTTAGTGCCGACAATTTCCTAGTAAATCTAAAAACTATAACAGTAAGCGACCAAAGAAGATGGAGCAAAACACTGCCATTAACATAGAAACAAACATTTTCATGAGTCTATACTACTATTTCTATGTGCTTTAGCCTTAGTGAGACCGCAATTAAGAGAAACCTAGGATTGCTAAGTATCCTGCTATGTATATTTCATATTTCTTTTATAAACATCAATTGCAGCGATCAGGAATGGTTGAAAATTACTTCCCATCCTCTTGTAAAATTCTAACTTCCAGTATCATCAATAAAGAAGAAACCTGAGCTATTCCTGATAAAGAATAAATATAAGACGAGGATATTCATCAACAAGACACTAAAATCTATGATCGCTTCACCACAAAAAAATTTATATTTGGGCATTTAACTTTCATAATACTTCCCCAGCATATCTTGTTTCTTCAAAGAAAGATATGCAATTTCCACTCCATTTTTTAACAAAAATTAGGAAGAAAATAGAAAGGAAATGACAGCACCAGGGGTATTGCAAGCCGGACCTTCTCTTGTTCCCATAGAAAGAAAAAGTACATCGCCAGTGGAAACATATGATACTTGACCACATATTAACGGTACATAAAAAGACAATTACCCATCAAACCATATTCTTGCCAAACAAGTCAATTAACTGTGTAAATTCACAATACAAGCTTTTGCCAACCGCTCATGGTAGTTAACATGAATATTTGTGGCAAATCAATTTGAGGTGCAGTAGATCTCACCTTGTTTTATTTCTTCAGCACGCCTCCATCAATCATTCTACTGAGAACTTTAACTGCCTTGTCATTCTCATTGTTTTCAAGAAGATATGGAATAACAATGTTGAGAGTTATGGAATTAGGGAGGCAATTGTTCTCTTCCATTCTATCAAGCAAGGCCACGGCTTCATCAAGAAAACCCTCTTTGCAAAGTCCATGAATCATAGCAGTATAGATACGCACATCTAGCTGGTAACCTTCAGCCAAAAGATACTGAAAAGTGTCCCATGCATTATTTAATCTACCACCTTTGCACAAACCATCAATAAGTATAGTATAGGTCTTCACATCAGGCCGAAATCCTTGATTGACAATTTGCCTAAATAATGCAATTGCCTTGTCAAGATGTCCCATTTTGCAAAATGCATCTAACAAGATGGTATAAGTGATTAAATCAGGGTGAAGACCCCTCTCGTGCATCTCATAAATAATATCTTGCGCGTATGAGATTCTTTGTGATTTGAGCAACCCATCAATAACGCAATTATAAGTTAAAACATCAAGAACCAAATTTCTGGAATGCAATTCCTTAAAAAGATCCATCGCTTGATCCACCATTTTCATCTTAAAGCATGCGTTGATCAAAATGCTATAACTAACAATGTCAGGTGCCAAACCATTTTCAATCATCTTGTTAAAAACTTCCTTAGCCTCAATGATATTATTGGTCAAACAATGTCCATCCATCACAGCATTATACGTAACAACATTAGGTCTTTGATCACTCTTCACCATCCTAGCAAATACAGCTTGAGCTTGTACAATCCTTCCATCTTTACATAATGCATCAACTAGGACGTTAAAGGTATAAACATTTGGTTGTATTTCTTTCGATATCATTTCATTGAGTAATTGATTTGCTTGATGCCATTGATCCATGCTACAGAAGCCATGGATTAGACTACTATAAGTAACAACATTTGGAGATATCCCGTGGTCAATCATTTCAAAATAGAGATTGTGTGCATCATTAACTAGTCCTTCTTTACAAAGCGCATCAATGATTGTGCTGTATATAACTATATTGGGCTTAACAAGGTGCCTCCCCATTACTTTAAGCAATTTAAGAGCAGATGTCGTTTTCCCCATTTTACATAGCCCATTTACTAATGTTCCATAACTAACTTCATTTAACTTCAATCCTTTTGCCATTATGTCATCGTAGAAATCTAGAGCTTTGCCGACATTTTGATTTAAACAGAGTCCTTTTATTAGTGTGGTCAAAACTACAGCGTTTGGTTGATAGCCCATCTTGAAAATTTTCCCCAACAGAGAGAAAGCAAGATCCATCTGACCGACGTGGCAGTGGCAATTGATCAAGATGCTCAGGTTACATAAATCTGGCACGTAGCCCTTCAACTCGGCTTGTGCAAGAAGTGAGATAACCAGGGGATAATGTCTCATCTTCACTATAGACCCTAAAATCCTATTGATATGTTTTCTAGAGGGAGGGGGCCGCATGTGGAGGAAGTGAGTGACTGTATCAACGGCGTCGCGGATGTTGTTGGGGTTTGGGGAGTGGGAATGAAGATAACATTTGAGAGTGAGGGAACAAGGGAAAGAGAGAAAGAAGGTACAAGTAGCAAAGAGAGGAAATTTGGTGAAGGAGGAGGAGTACCTTGCAGCAGCTGAAGAAAGCATATTTGGGATCAGATTGAACGAGGAGCATCTGCAATGCTTCAATGCTTCTTCAGTTCACCGAAAGGAAAACGTACAAAGCTTTGTCCAATGAATCAAATCGAAGCCTCAATGGAGTATGAAGCCGAAGCGATCTGGGAAAAATCGCCTTCATATTCGGATCAGATGATATTTGGGAATTTCTCCTAGGATGTTTTTTCGGATTTCGCCCAGGATAGTCCTTTTTTTTTTTTTTGAGCAAAAAGGATAGTCCATTTAATCACTCGTCAATAAATATAAAATTTCAGTGGGTACCCTTTTTCTTTCTTTGTTTTTTTTTTGTGTGTTTTGGTGATATTTAATCAAGACTTAAAATTTAAAATATATGAACAAATACAAGCACACATATACATATATATATATATATATATCTATATATGTGTGTGTATATATATATGTTCTAATCATCCTATTTTTTAATTAAAATATTATAATATATTATTGGCAAAAAATATATATATACACATTTTAATATTTCCATTGGTAATATATAGTTCTTGGTAAAAAATTATCAGCATATTGTGATTTTGCCAAAAGATACTACATTGATTCTTAATATAAAAACTAGTTTGACTTTTAATTTAGTTTTAAATATAATATCATAATTTACTTTGTTTTTCATATTTATCTATTTTTTTTAAAATAATTCTTACAATAGTTGCATACGTTAAATGTTTCATCAAATGACACTTGATTAGTAAGGGTATTTAAAAAAAACACATATTTATTACAAATAATTAATTTAACTAATTACCTTAATTTACGCAAAGCAGTCAACTAGCTTTTATATTAAAAACTGGAGGTAGTATGAGTAAATTAAAGAAATTAGTTAACTTAGTTGTTTGTAATAAATAGGTGTTGTCTTTCCTAAAATATCCTTGATAATCAAGTGTATTGGCTAGAAATACCGTTATTATAAGGACTATATTAAAAAAAGGGAATAACAGGAATTGGATGATCCTTACAAGAAATGAGTTATTTTTTTAAAAGCAAACTCTTTTTTTAATTTATATAATCATTTTGAGCTTAATACAATTATTAGTCCCTTAAATTTGTCTTTATTTTAATTTTAGCCCATTAAGTTTCAAACCATAGCTTTTGACCTCTCAAATTTATTTTATTTAAAACATGACTCTATATTATTCAATAAAAATTTAGATTTTATCTCTTAAAAGACTAAAACCTATGATTTAGGGCTCGATGGGCTAAAATCAAAATTTGTGAAAACTTGTGAGATTAAAAATTATATTAACCAATCATTTTAAAACGTTTAACTAGAATATCAAAATTATGATGCAGGTATACGGATCAAATGTAATATAATATGATATATCAAATAAGATAAATTTTATTATATGTTTAGCACCTTATATTAAGTCTGATGATTATAAAAAAATAATAATACTAATATAGGATATTGTGAACTAATTAGGGTGTTTATGGGACCAAGATGGATCCTGTGTTGGCAACACTTGCAAAAATAATAAAAATATGGTTCGAATCGTATCTAAAGACATTGTCCTTAAGAGTTATTTTGCCACACAGGTTAGAATAAAAGGCGGCACTTCTTAGGATTAAACAGACCATTCCTATGTAGAGTAAAGTGACAGAATAACAGAAATTTAAAACTCAGGAGAAGTGAGAGAGGAGGAGGTCTTGGGGATAGAACTCAACACCCTTTAATCATGCATCACGCATTGCCTTTTATAGGCAGATAATGTGTGACCATTGGGCTGTTATAAAAAGATGATTTTAATAACAATTAAAAAGGTGGTTTTAAAACAATTAATTAATGTGAATTAAAACATTTTAACGCCATTTAATATGGTTTACGAAAGAATAAAACTTACAGTCATTTCCAATGGTCAGTTCTAAAGACTCCTCTTCTTGGCCATTTTATTGGCTCAAACTCACATCTTAATAAATACTAAGATTTTCTCAATCTTAAGTAATATGGGACTTCTTTTGACACAGTAAAACTCCAATACTCTGTCCTATGGCTATCTTGATCCTGATGGGAATACAACGAGTAAAACCAAAATTTTGACCCAAATTACAATTTTTTGGGGAACAAACCACCCTCCAATCCCCAAAAAAAAAAACTGCAGTTTGAGCCAAAATTTTGGATTTTTTTATGCTACATTTTTATTTTAATTGAGGTTTTGAAAGATAAAAACATTAAAAAAAATTATTATGCAAAAGCCCAAATTATAACAAAGAAATCATGCTTTTGACAATAAAAAAAATCACTAGAACAAAGAACAAATACTAATATTAATAATTTAATAAGTGAATTAAAAAAAAGTAAACATCCCGGGATGGGATGACCTCGTCCCGTGTCTCGTCCCATCCCGGTCACTATGTTGTCCCTTCTTATAGTTATTTATCCTAACCTTTTTTTTGTCCTGTTCTAAAAAGACTCCAAAAAACTAGTCATGTGTCTATCATAAATAACATATCTATCTCCTATAAAAACTTATAATGCATCATAATGTAGTTTAGTTTGGAAAATACTTTCACACCCTACCTTAAACATGTGCTATTTCCAACCCCTTCTCAAATGAAATTAAAAAGAAAATTCTACCTCCAGTCTTATTTATAAGACCTCATTTATAGACTACTAATAAGGTTTTATAATTAGAACTGGAAGTAATACAAAGAAAATGGCAAAACTAGTATTTTTTCATGCCAAACTTATTAAGATTTTAGTTTTAATCAAGGAATAAAAAACCGGATCAGGAATTAAATTGGTTAAGGCAGTAGATCAAGGGTTACTAGTCGGACTGGGATCAGATCGATCATATTAAAATAATATAATTTAATTCACAATATTAAATATATCATATTGATTATTAATCAATACTTTTTTCTTGACCAGAAGATTAGTAATCAATACTTGAAAGTTGAAAGAAACAGATTTGGAGGTTCTTCGGTTTCAAGCTAAGAGTGTTTATACTTTACGTATCCAGAATCAATTTGGAGATTCCAATCTCCAAAGGAAACAAAATCTATATTATTTCAGCAAAAAAAATTCATCAACTACTTTCCTCTCCTGCTTCAAGTGTTCAGAAATCAAATAGAAAATTTTCATCTCCTCCTGAAGGATTTCGGGCGTACTTGGAGTATTCGAAATCTTCAGATAGCCACACGGAAGTCCGGTTATAGTATTGAACTCAGATCTTGGAGACACAACAAATGCACAGGGAGAAGGTGAAGAAGAGAGAACAGAGAGAGGAGTTTTGAGAGCAGGAAAAAGAAACTGTAGTCGTCCACTTAAACTGATCATGCAATTACCCACTTAACTACACGTTTTTTTTTAAAGAGAAAAACTGCCTCCTCCGTAACTGTTCCCTCCTTTTTGCAAATCATATAAAAAGGCAAAAATTACAGTCAGGGACCCACAAGTTTTGCTATTCTCATCAGGACCCCAAATGATAATTGGGCTTGGGTCCAATCCACCCTTGGTGGACTGGCCCATTTTCTTACATCTCCCATTCACACTTGGTATTAGATGTCGCGAGTCTAGTCTCTTCACCTTCCCTCAATTTCATACTTAATGCTTTGCCGTGACCGCGTGGGTATGACGTCTTCGCTTGGGTCCCTGTACAAGAAATCCCTTTTAAAGGATCAGCATAAGTCACCCTCTCCTTTGTGTAGCTTGAATTTTAAAATTATGCCTCAGATGTCCTAGATTTACTTATATACACTTTTTCATGGTAAATCTAATCCCTCTCGAGTCAATGGTTGACTCAGATTACCATTCTCTTATGTCTAGTATCCACACTTCACAAAATGTCATAAGGGAGATGTCACAGACACTAGCATAGGTGTGTATATCACAGTCAATCTTCCTTTCGCCCAAATATCACTTTGAAATGAATCAGTCGCTTTCTTAGCATACTACCTTAGATCGCATCAATCATGACCATAGGACATGTGCCAAAGTAGCAGTCACTGAAACATATCTTCATGATATTGTCAAAGTCAAAGGACACCAACAGGAGGATAATTCCTCCCTGGGACTCACACAGCAATGAAGCAAGGATCTTTCACTTGCTTCCCTTTTGCGGTTCTCCCAGCGCATGTGGTATGAAACACATGCCACAGTGTTACTCTTTTACTATAAGAGCGTATGTCGTTTTGGACTTATGATTAACACCGTACAGACTTAAGTCTAGACACACTCAGTATCTAAACCCAAATTCTTCAACTCTGCTCATTGTTATGACGTCAACGTTGAAGCGTTTGTTGTCTGGCTACAGGTATTATGGAAGTGGGATTCCAAATTTCGATCCAACTTTATCAACATGGATCTCATCTTGACTTGCTACACTTTAGTCAAGGCGACATACAGTTTGTGTTTCTTCCCTACCATATCAGCATTCTTTGCTGCTTTACTGGTGAACACAAATGTCTCATCTTTGTTCAATCCACCTGAGTGTCAAAGGTGGTTGCCCGTGTAAGAGAGCCAACCTTTTTAACCTGTACGGCATACTAGACATTGTATACTTTTGGACAGACACATAAAGTGATAACGAAATATAATTTCATTAATGAAGCATTCACATTACACTTTATGTATGTCAAGGGCTTGTACATGTTCTTTAAAAATTTTTTCTCCTATTGGCTTTGTCAGAGGATCTGCTACCATACATTTGGTTGAAATGTATTGTACAGTAACAATCTTTTGTGCTATGTAATCTCTAACAAAATTGTACTTGATGTCAATGTGTTTGGTTTTACTGTGATACTTAAGATCTTTAGTATAGGCTATGGCTGCAGTATTGTCACAGTATACCATCACCGGATTGGTACTCTCATTTCCAAATCTAAGGTGTTCTATAAATCTCTTCAGTCATAAAGCCTCTTGCACTGCTGCAGTGCATGCCACAAACTCAGCTTCCATTGAATGTAAGGCAATGCACGTTTCCTTCTTGCTACTCCAACATATGGCGCCATTATTG